TTGATCCCACTAAAATTTCTGAGACCTGTAGGACAGATGATTGCAAAACTGTGAAAGGCAACAAGCATTTGCCAGCAAAAATTTGCTGGGCTCCACACTTCTGTCCTGGGTTTCCACAAGCAACCTGCCCACCATCACCTCCTCTATCGCGCAGGATCTGAAAGCAAGTCCTTGGATTTGAGGATGTGATCTGTGCTGGGAGGGCTCCACTTAATTCATCTGGAGGAGGCACCAACAGAAAGATGGGAAATCAGCATGGAATGAGTCCAGCATCCCTGATGTGAGTATGTCACTGCTCCCCTAAACGTGGACACTTGAATCATAGCAACTGATCAAGGCTATGGCTGTTCCCCAAAGCAACCAGGGCCAACTATTAATGCCAAAACCAAGCTATAACTTTTGTTTGTCAGTGCACTCATTTGCAATACAGCAAGTTGCACTAGTGCCAACCTTGCAGCCTCCATCCTCGCATTGGGGTGCGTTTTCTTGACTCATTGACACCAAAAGCCACACAAAAGCCTAAGCACTCATCTGCCAGGGATGCAGCACAAAACACCCCAACATCGCTGCCCACCCCTGCCCATGGAGCGCCACCCGTGGCCGGAGCCCATGGCACCCCACTGCTTGACGGGCAAATCATTGCTCCCCAAATCCCTTGGGGACTACTGCCAGGATAATGCTGCAATCCCCAGGGCCTCTGGCACGCACGCGTGCAGCCATCTAGCCAGCCATACCCAGTGCTCCCAGTACGTCCCAGTGCCCCCAGTACCTGGGCTTCCCTATGGCTCCCAGCACCTCGCCGCCCGCCGAGCTCCCCCCTCAATGAAGCCGGCCGTGGGAACTGCGGGCAGGCAGCCCCCGCCCCTTCCCCTCTCATTGGCCGCCACCCAGCAGTGATTTGAATACCGCCCTCTGATTGGCTGGCGCTGGCGCGGGGCCGATGGCACCCACGTGCCGGTGCCAGCCGGCGGGCGATCGACCCGGCCGGGCCGGGCTTGGTGGCCCCGGGGCTGGGGAGGGGACAGCGGGTCATCCCCCCGCCTTGCCCGCTCCTACCTCGGCCTCTTGCCTGCCCTTCCTCCCCGGGACCACCGAGGGTCTGCCCCAAGCGCTCCCCCCCGCCGGCATCACCCCAGGAGTTAATTAACTTGAACCCTAAGCAGCGGACTCATCTGCCATGGCTCAGACAGCCCGGTGTCACCGTGTCCCCAACACGGCTCCAGCGGGAGGTCATCCCTACCCGCAGCACTCCCCCCGAGAGGTTTGTCTCGCCTGGGCTTTACCCACCGAGCAGCAGCCCCGGCTGAGCCTCGCTGCTCCTGGAGGAGTGTGCTCAATGCCCGTCCTCCATTGCTCCCGCTACAACCCATCCTCCTCCTCTTCCCACTCCTGCTGAGGGTTAAAAGAAGTTTAATTTCACTTTTTGTGTTTCGAAGGCAGTTTGACACCCTCTCCTCAAACCTGTCTTTCTCAGACAACCCCAGTTATTCCTCTCCATTAGAATCATAGAATCACAGGATGGTTTGGGTTGGAAGGGACCTTAAAGATCATCTAGTTCCAACCCCCCTGCCATGGGCAGGGACACCTCCCACCAGACCAGGTTGCTCAAGGCCCCATCCAGCCTGGCCTTGAACACTTCCAGGGATGGGACATCCGCAGCTTCCCTGGGCAGCCTGTTCCAGTGTCTCACCACCCTCATAGTAAAAAATTTCTTCCCGAGATCTAATCTGAATCTTTTTTCTTCCAATTTAAAACCGTTTCCCCTTGTCCTATAACAAGCCCCCAGAAGTTCCCACCACTCTCCCAGTAACCCTTTTCCCCAGCTCATTTATGGGATACAGCACTGGAACCAGCAGCGGGGCTGTACTGGGCATGGCCTTGAGCTTGAAACGCTACTTCAGAGCAATAACCATGGTTCACCGGTCACCACACAGCTCACGCACACCCTGCAGCCGTGCCTCCTGCGCACCACCCTCCTGTTTTCATCCCCCCATCCCTGAAGCGTCTGACCTTTCAGGCTCCCGCTCTGGTTTTGATCCTCCGTAATCCCAATTTCATCTCCCCGCGCGCGCATGTGTGCGGGATGGCAGCCTCACCAGCGGAAGCCATCAGGCATGGAAAACCCCAGGGTGGCAGCCCACGTCAAAAAGCCTGGCAGGAGGAAGGCGCAGGTGCCCGAGGTGGCCTCACTGTGGAGCCAAGCGTGAAAAGCCCCCGGCAGAGACCGCGGAAGGGCGAGCGGGTGGTCTCTGCTTCTCCTTTTTGGAGCAGTGGCTGCACCAGCACGTTGATTTTTTGCAGGTACCTTCGGTTCGGAAGCGGCTTCCTCCTGAATAGCTGGAACTTGTTTGTGAGCAGCAAGGAGAATTAAAAAAAGAAAAGCACAACAAAAATGCTCAAATCCATCTTGAAAACACCAGGGGAAGCAGCAAACAAGAAAAATTTCAAGCCATGGCCTGGTATGAACCGTGACGCGTCCGGCGAACGGTTCACGCGGTAACTTGCGTCTGGGAGCTCATATCCTTGATCCAATATCCCCTGGGGTGGCCCGACTGCACACCCCGTGCGTAGCACAGACAGCAGGCTGGGGCTGAGCCAGTGATGCACATCACAAAATAAAGCTTTAATCAATCAAATGGAGAAATCAATAGCCCAGCGAACAATCCTGATGGTTAAGGCCCTATAGGGTTTAACGGTTCTATTCTTAGTTTTTCCATAGTTTTGTTTTGTTTTCTTTCTTTTTAATGTGAAAATGCAACTTCCAGCAGGACCTGGAAGTCTTCAGAGCATGGCAGAGGCCATTGGAGATTTCAGCTGACACTTGAGAAAGGCTCAGAAGTTATTAGGACCAAGGGAACAAACCAAAAAAAAAGAAGAAAAAAAAAAAAAGAGATTCTTCTAAATCACCAGGTAGCAAAATAACAAATGGGGCCTACAGGAGAGATGGGGAGGGACTCTTTATGATGGAGTGGAGCGACAGGACAAGGAGTAATGGTTTTAAACTGAAAGAGGGGAGATTTAGATTAGATATCAGGAAGGAATTCTTTCCTGTGCGGGTGGTGAGGCACTGGAACAGGTTGCCCAGGGAAGTTGTGGATGCCCCAACCCTGGAGGTGTTCAAGGCCAGGCTGGATGGGGCCTTGAGCAACCTGGTCTGGTGGGATGGGTCTCTGCCCATGACAGGGGGGTTGGAACTCGATGATCTTTAAGGTCCCTTCCAACTCTTAACCATTCTGTGATTCTATAAAACACTGAAGAGCTAATGAGGTCACTCTTAACATCCCAGCAGGATTACGAAGAGGCAATCCAGCGCTGTCCCAACTACCGTCCCAGGCTGTTTACAGGCAGGAGGCAACCCTACCTACAGTTCACACTCCACGCTTGAACAGATTTCACAAACACACGAACCGTACATTTCCTTAACAACAGCCGTTCCAGCTCCAGAGCAAATTCCTGGGGCTGGGGCAAGTGCAAGTCACCTTCTCCCTACAGCCACTCAGCAAGGTGCTACATCCCAGAGAGAAGGGGAAGCTGCTGTACCACACACACCGAGAGTGTCACACACTATCCTCCAGCTTCGAGCCGCAGTCCCCTCGGCGTGGTGCACCACTGCAAACTGAACTTCCCTCTCCTTCCCTCCTACATCCCCCCTCAAGCCCAACCACGGCAGAATAGCTCTAGAGCACATGACTCCCAAACCAGAATAAGAAATGCTTTGCGCTCCACACATGGACTCTTTGGATGCATCTCCTCAAGTTGTGCTCCTGCAGCTCTGAAACACACAACACCCCAAGGTGAGACAGGGAGTTGGGCAAGGTCACGCATTAAACCCCGAGAGCTTTCTGCAGTGGCCTTTAAGGATAAGCAAGAGATCACCACGGCTATTTTGGAGGTGAGGAGGCCACACACACTGCACTTTCATGACATGACCAGGGTTATTCAGAATTAGTGTCCGAGAGCACCAAGCCTCAGCTCAGGAGGGGACTCTGAGCCCAAGCACACAAGGCACTGGTATGCATTTGCCTGCCATTTACCTGTTTCAGGGGAGAAAGGGAGGTGGCAAAAGGACCCTGACACAAGCACGTGTCACACAGCTCCCTCCAGAGGACATGCACTAGCAGAAATTGCGTAGTTGCTCTCAGTGTTGAGATCAGACCTCCCTCCCCAACACGCTTTGAAGAATTTCTGTGTTTGTGTGCGCATGCTCCATGAAACAATGAGATTCACACCAGGCTGGTCCCCTTTGCTTTAGCAGCTGGTGGCCATCAGTGTTGCTCTGATGTTCCTCCACGAAGCCTCAGGCACCAGTTTTCTCTTTCCCCTCCCGTTTCTGGCATGAGAAATCTACATACTTGCCCATTGCCGGGTTGCCAATTTTCTGGTGTGGGTTTTGGCCACACAGGCCTGTTCTCCTTTCATCATTTCTCTGCCAGTACATGCGGCAAGGGAGGAGGCCTGGCTGCCAGAGACAGAATAGTCACCATCTCCTAGGGATACTGGAGGACAGAGGCCAGAATACTGCCTAGGCTCACTCTCCTCCTCAGGATTCACTCCCAGTTTTGCCACCAGCATTCTTCAACTGTGCAAACCCCCTTTTTTTTTTTTTCTTTCTTTTTTTCCCTCCTCCTTGCTGAAGGCATCCATGCTAAAAAACATACACTGAGGTCCCAAGAAGAAAGGCAATTAAACAGTCAGCAGCCCTGAGGTAAAGGGCAGCCTCTGCTGCTCCCACCCCAGAGAGGGCCACACACACAGAGCAAGGGCATTAGGGCATTTCATACTCCTCTGAGCTATCGCAATTAGGATCGGCACATTCAGCAGGCAATGGAATGAGCCATTCCTGCTCTGGCTGGTTCTGTGTTACCACAGAAATAGCTCCTAGCTATTCCCTTTCCTAAGCACCAGCAGATTTCAATATCCTTTAAGCAACAGAAATCATCTCGCCTCTTCCCAGCCAGTACTGGGAAGTTGCTGTTACGCTTCAAATAAGTCACAAATGGTTTTTATCTTAGCAAAATGACTTCACAAAGATTTATTCACAAAGTTACCAAATGTCACCTGCAATAGGTACCAAAAAAAAAATAATATAAAATACCCCTGCATTCAGGTATGGCACTGGAGAAGAAACACATGAGACAAGATGATGCCATGTCTCCATGGAAAAAGGATTTACTGCATGGCAGAAATGCCTGGGCACTGACGCACGAGTGGAAGCAGAGCTCTTCCTAGTTGCATAAACTGCCCTGTCGGCATGGTTGTCACACTCAAACCCAGATCCTCCCCTTTGGTAAAGCCAAGTATCAGCTCCGGAAGGGGAGGCCCAAGGACAGGAGGGTTACGCCAAATAGAGAATCTGACCCCCAGCAAAAGTTTTTAGAGACTCCGTGGCACCCAGACACTTTGATGGAGATCCCTGCAGAAATAAATGGGTAAACCATATAGTGCTCCTGGTGAGCACTCAGGAGGCGAGAGAAAGGCTGAACTGGGCTCACTGTTGGTCAGAGGGCAACAAAATCAAGGTCCTTGCTCACAATGAAGAGATCCCAAAGAGCAGCAGGCCAGATGTGGAGAGTTGTCCCAGTTGCTGGTCCAAGCACTAGTTCTCTCTGTTAATCTTGGTCACGGCCCATTTTGCCCGTCAGCCTCCGTCGCTGAGTCTTAGTGGTTCGCCCCGTGCTGGATTTCTGCATTTTCTTGCGTGGACCCTGCCCACGCTGGGGTCGCTTTCCTTTCGTCTTTTTCTTGCTATGCATGTGCAGCGTGGCAGTAAGAGAAGAGATCCTGTGTGGGGCAGGAAGAGAGAAATGTTTGGGGACCAGAATCTGCAGGAACAAGGCGAGACCACAACAGCAGGAGAGCCCTGTGTGGCCCAGCAGGAACAGACACTAGCCATGGCAAGTCCCAGGGGGACACCACTGGGCTGGGCATCATCCTGGCAGGGCAGAAAACTTGCAAGTCTACAATAAGCAGTAACAATCAAAATGAATTTTCTGAGCAGTGGGCTGTCCAGCCACCACAGAGTTAAGTAATTCTCTGTATCCTCAAAGCAGCTGTAAATCCTGGATACTGAAAAATGTGGAGAATGCCAAAGCTTTAAACATTAGGGTCTTTTGACCTTCATCCTAGAGACAAACTCTGCCCCCTGCAATACACCCTTACCCGCAATATCTACCGAGAAGAACTAGGCAAACAATTCAGGACAAAGCTCACCCTGCATTGCATCCTCCTCCTCCTCCAGCTGTCACCAGGGATCAATGCGATGAAAACAGAGCGTTTTGGGCAGGCTTGTGCTCTGCCAGTGCCCTCTGCTAGCTCCTGCCCACCGGCAGCACAGCACACCCTCCTTCCCTGCAACCCCATGGCTGATCCGGGAACCCAAGATCCCCCTGATCAGCTTCCACAGCCTAGTAGCAAAGAGTTGAATAAACTTATACATACTTTTCAGACAGGAAGGGGTTTCTGGACTTCTTGGGCATTGGTCTTACAGGCTTGTTCACCACCTCTTCCCCTTTTTCTTCCTCTGATCCATCACTTTTTCCCTTAAAAAAAGGAGCAAAAGATTAAAAAAAAATCATCCCTATACACACATTAAAACAGGCAGTCTTGTGATTCCAGTGTTTCTGCTGCCTTCTTGGTTTCATCCTCTTTTGTGGCCCATCCAGTCATAGATGAAGTCTTTTTTGATTCTCTATATATCTTGCTGTCCAAATCTCAAGATTTGGGACAACCAGTGGTAAGTCCTACAGTAATCCACCTTAAGATCCAAAAACTTTGGCATGATCTTAAGGTCATGCAACTGAAGCCTAAAGTATGAATTAAAGGTTTCAGCTTTTTTCTTAAATTACTATTGAAATCTCTTGAAGTGGCTTTTCAAATTTTAGAAGTTGACCTTATAAATATAAAAGGTTAACTGCAAAACACAAACACGTCTTCAAAGAGCTCAAATCCAGCCATGGGTCATGAAGATCAAAAGGATCAAGTCAACCAGTTCCTGAAAACCTCTATGAAACAAATGTGAGATCTCAGTTACAGTATGTTTTGAGAATAAAAGCAACTGTAACCAAAACTGAGTGGTTTCCTTATTTGTGGTCGAAGCAAAGGATCATGGAGAGAAAAAACCCTCCCTGTGCTAATAGTAATTTTTCCTGGAAAGGACACAGAAAAGAGGTTGAACACAGTCCACACAACAAAGTGTGAAATCTTGCTGCTTTTGTTGTAACAGCTTTTAAAATCCTACATTCTCCTCATCCATGCCTGTAGTACCTTTCATTTTAACAAGGTCATCTGAGGCTAGCAAAGGATTCCAGGGAGGTCTGGAGTGAGCTGTTCACGTAGGACATCTCTTCCTCTTTAGAGGCCCAACATAAGTTGTGGAAGAAGGTAAAGTTATGAGTTTCCCTTTTCATCCCTGCTCCCATGCAGCTGCATGTCTTTGGGCCTATTGAGGGAGTACCAGGCCAGCCCCAAAAATGTTTACAGCTGATACAGAGAAGCAGCAAGAAGCTTTACCACAGGGGTGGTCAGTCCCAGCTGGCGCGCTCCTGAGAGGTCCAGGTCACTGATGGTGGTCACTGTTACAATATGGTTTGGGTGGTCGATATTCACAGACTCTGTCCGTGATGTCACCAAGTGCTCCAGTTCATCAGCCTCATCTGGGGAGACAAGAAATCCTGCTCTGCAAAGTGCCCAGCTTCTCCCAAGATACGCTTATTTTTTTTCCTGCAGTGCCATGCTGAGGGGGAGGACCCAGCCTTTGCATGCAGGCTTAACGAGCAGAGGGACACTATGATCATGAAGGGCAAGCTCCTTCTCCCAGCAAAGGGGACCCTGTAACACCTTGGGGATGTCTTCCTGCTCACTCCTTTCTGTACAACCCACCCGATGCCCTGTCCCACCAGGGCCAGAGGGCTGCAGGCATCACTGCTCAGATCACAGGGGGCCAAATCTAAGGACTCCAATCTCCTTAGATTGGAGATTAGGAGAAAGTTCTTTACTGTGAGTGTGGTGGAGCACTGGAACAGGTTGCCCAGGGAGGTGGTTGAGGCCCCATCCCTGGAGATATTCAAGGTGAGGCTCAATGAGGCCCTGGGCAACCTAGTCTAGTTGGGGGTGTCCCTGCTGACTGTGGGGAGGTCGGACTAGATGACCTTTTGAGGTCCCTTCTGGCCTGGATGATTTTATGACATGAGAGAAGCCAGGAGCTGGCACCGTGGGACAGTGTGAGAGCACCCCTGCTCTTACCACCCAGCCAAGGATGTCAGACCACAGGCACGCACCTTCCACCCCTCCCACAGCCCAGCGCCTGCAACCGGCCAGCACTTACCGAGCGCCTCCTCCCTCTCGCTCAGCATCTTCAGATACTCCTGGTGCCGCTGAGGGATGGAAACAGGTCACTGAGGCGCTTCTGCCCCTCCAGCCGCCCGTCCCCCCTGCAAGTGTGGCAGGGGAAGCCCGAAGACCCCTCTTCCCCCGCGGCCTGGTCCCCGCGGCCTGTCCCGCTCCTCGCCCGCCATAGCGGGAAAGAGGGGGATGCCTTCTCCCATTAAGGGCCACAGGGGATATCTGTGGGGGGGTACCTCCTCCTTCATCTTCCTCTGCTCCTCCTTCAGCTTTCGCTTGATCTCCTCCAGCGCCGCTTTCCTCCGCTCCACCTTCCGCTTGTGGAAGCCGGTCAGGTACTCCCTACCGGCAGCAACAGAGACACGCACACCGGTTTTAGCGACCCCCTGACCGGGAGATGCCTCTTTTCCCCCCGCCCCGGCGCTCACCCGGCCTCACCTCCGTCTCTCCTCATCAAAAGTCACCACCAGCCGCCCCTCACGGCCGCCAGGACCCTTCTTCTTCTTCTTGCGGCCCATGGCGGTACCACGCTGCCGCTACTGCCCGCCCCTTCCGCCGCCGCCCCGTCGGGAGGGACGGCCCCCGTACCGCCCCGCTCCGCCCCGCCCGCCATTTTGTGCCGCCGGGCCTGGCCGGGGTGAAGTGGGCTGAGGTGTCGGTTTCCTCATGGGGTCCCCAACGGTCCTTGTCGGTGGAACCACTCTTGGGCCGAGGGCGGAGTGGCCCCAGGGTGCGAGGGGACCCCGAGCACCACCGGTGGTGGGCTGTGGGGCGCAAAGAGAGCACGCTGGGGCCACTGCCTGGGCTGTGGGGCGATGTGAAGGAGCAGAGTGGGACTGGTGATCGGGTCCTCTTGTTCCAATAGTGTGTGATGCCTGTGTGTGTCTCCTCACCTGCTCCTGGTGTGCTTTTCCCCCCCAGGCTGGGACCAGGAGAGAGAAGTTGCAGTGGTGGACCTTGCAGGTGTCCACTGTCAGCCCTGGCATCCAGCCTGGGTCAAGCATGGGGAACCTCCAGGCTTGGGTACCTCCAGCTCCTCTTTTCCTCCCTCCTGGAAGAATGTTCTTGTGGCCAGCCTGGTGCCCAGTCTCTCACCCTGAGACTTGCCACTCCTCCAAGTGTTTTCATGTCTGCATCTCTTTAATAAAGGTCATTCCTCCAAATATTTAACATCTGCGTTTCTTCAGTAAAGGTCTGACAGCTCATATCAAGCTATCATCACTGCTTGGTGTCAGTGACACCTGTGCTGCGCTTAGCCTGGGGAGACAAGTGCCCGGATGGCTCTGACACCAAGTCTCCAAGGTGCAAGACCTGGCTGAGCAGCCATGGTGTCAGCAGTTGATGGTGGAGAGAGGTTCCAGCATGAGTAAGTGGGGGCACCAGGACTGCCATCTTCTTGGCTGCTGGCCTGAGTCCCTTTGACTGAACTCTTGAACCTGCCTTGCCCTCCGGTCCTCACCCTAAAAGTGGGTGTAATGCTTGCGTGGTGGCCAGATGACTTTGGGGGAAGCTCCTGAAGAGCAGCGGAGGCAGCCAAAGCCACCACCCCCAGCCCACAGAGCGTGACAAGCCCTGACATTGCCTGGCGGCCACTGGTCCAGCCCACAGAGCGTGACAAGTCCTGACATTGCCTGGTGGCCACTGGTCCACAGCTGCCTGGCCTTTATCAGCTCTCTCACTGGTTAGGCTCTTTTCCTGGCCTGTCCTTTCACCAGCAGAAATGCGGAAAAACCAGTTCTGTGGTTAATTGCTGCACTTCCCTCCACGCCCATGGGGCAGGTCTCCTCCTCCTCCTCCTCACTCACAGTCTGGGTGCACTTCAGCCTCCAGCCCCTTCGTCCCTGCCTGCATTCAGCCGACTCAGGTGCACTGTCAGGCCTCCGCACTCCTTCCATTAACCTCACGGCTTCTCCTGCCTTCCCATTTTCCCTCTGTCAGCAAGAGCTTCTGGCTCTCTGCTGGCTCTTTCTCCCTTGGGCCACCCAGAGGGTTGGCCCACAGGTGCAGAAGGTGCAGGCAGCTGCCCTCTCAGCCCTGCCCTGCCCAGAGGGATAAGCGTAAGGACATGATGTCTGGAGGCAACGACAAGAGCATGAAGGCCCTGAAGGAGGTGTGGAGAAGACCGGAAAACTCTTTGTGTGCAGACTGTGGGAAGCCAGGTGAGTCCTCAAGGGCTGCTGGAGGAAGACTCAGAAGCAGGGGGCTGGGGCTGGTCTCTAACAGCAGGTTGGTGCTGGCCATCTGACTGCACAGGAGCCTGGGGCAGAGAGGGAGGAGAGGCATTGCTGTCTCTGGATATTCGCTTCCTCTCTCTGAAGGTTGGCAAGGCAGGAGGAAGGAGATGCTGCCACAGCGCTGGTGAGAAGAAGGACAGGGACACGGTAGAGCCAGATGAGCAGGGGCGGTGGAGCAGCAGCACCGTGGGTTGCAGTTGTGTCAGATCTCAAATACAAATCAAGGTCATGCCCAGTCAGGACCTGACAGGAAAACTCCTGGTGAAATCCAAACTGCTTCAGAAAGAAGGCATGATTCAGGAGGGCATTGTCTCCTCCATGACTCAGCTATGAACTGACAACCTGCCACAGACGCCTCAGAGATTTCTTTTACTGAAGAAAGACGCACTGAGAAAGACCCCTCTTGGAAGGGTCTCCAGTTTGAGGTCCTACAGGTGCTGCTAAAAAAAGCCATCATACGACTCCCAAAAGGGGCATGTGGAGTGTACCACCCGAGCCAAATTAAGACTGGGCTAATTAGTGCCGTTTTATCTTCTTAAATTCTCCCTGGAGAATTTTGGATTCAAGGCTGGTTTCCACTTCCTGAGCTAAATACTGTTGGGGGGTTGCTCTGTTGAGTCTTTTCCCAGAGGTGGTTTCAGTTTCATCTTGGGTGACCCTTTATGCAGAGGGAGTTCGCAGAGCACTTTGCAGTTTTTCAAGGTTCAGGTCAACAGAGATTCAGATGAAGTGGTTGAAGCAGGGGCAACGAGGGACTAATAGCTATGCTTTTTCCTGCCTGTACCTTGGGTGTTAATTAACCAGCTCAAATGAAACTGGGGTCACCCAGCTCTCTCTTTCTCTGGACTATGTTCTCAGTTGAGGCATGTCTTCCAGAGGAATTTACCACCTCTAGTCATACCCTTTTTTATACCCTCAGATCCTGACTGGGCATCCTCTACTTTGGGTGTCTTTATATGCCTCAGCTGCTCGGGAATTCACCGCAACATCCCTAGCATCAGCAAAGTCAAATCCCTGAAGATGGACCACTGGGATGATGCTCAGGTGCAGGTGAGATCTTTATCCCCACTCGTATGTCAGGTGGGTTGGGTCTAGGCCATACACAAATATGTCCTGGGAAAATCAGTCTTCTGGTGTCACATAGTTGGAAATTTAATCTGATACATAGTCCCCTTTGCTGCTCATGTTCTGGATACTTAAGTGATACCCACTGGGAGAGGGATGATGCACTTGCCTTATGTGTCTCCCTGTGTCCTGTTACTTTATGGCAAATGCAGAGCTCTTGCAATGTATCTTGCCAAGGCTCAGGGTCTTTGTTGCTTCAGATCACTCATTTCCCACTCACCAGCACCGTCCAGCTTCAGTGTCTCCTTGGTTTCAGTAGTCCAAGGGGAAAATCTTGGGCAAATCCATACTCCGAGGAGAGTTTCCAGATATAATGTGATCTCTTGAGAAAAAAGGCATTTATGGGAACTTGACTTCTCCCTGTTACACCCCCTTCAATCCATTAATCTTCAAGGGACTGAAAAAATTTTCCAGAGATCCAAAGAAAATAATCTGTATCTCGCTGCTTTTTTGGAGAGGAGCAAAGAGGTTTGGAATGTCCTCCGGGATGGCATTGCAGAGCTGTCATTGAACTTGGTCTCCCTGGAGATGTGGGGCATGGCGGCAAATCCACCGAATGTGTGCGCGCGCCCAGCCCCACAGAAGTGACATTTATGGCATTCTGTTGATTCAGGTGCAATCAGTGTAACTTCTGAGAGTAGACAAGACCTTTGAGACCCACCTTTCTGTAGCCGGACTTTGCTGGGATGTTGCAATGGGTGGGAAAGAGAATGCTCCATCAGAGCTCAGTGTGCATCTAAGCCCTGTAGTGGGTCAGGAAAAAAATAAAAACAGCCCAGCATGAGTCTGCATCAACAGGAAGGCACTAACTCTCTGTCTCACCCTGCAGTTTCTAGCCAAGCATGGAAATGCTGTGACTAAAGCCACATACGAAGCTCACATCCCTATTTACTATTACCAGCCAAACTACAACGACTGTCAGTAAGTTGCTGCATAAGGAAGAAAAGGGGGAAGGGCCAGGTCTGTGTTCCTCTAGTTTGTTTCTGAGCTACCTGTCACCTCTCCCCCCAGAGTGCTGAGAGAACAGTGGATACGGGCCAAGTATGAACGCAAAGAGTTCACTGAGCCGGGAAAACAGCTGCCATATTCTGATGGTAAGAGCAGAGCAGAGCATCAAAATATCCTGCCTGTCGCCTTCGCTGGAAGCTTTTGAGCACCCTGAGGAGAAAGCTCATAGTGTCAGGGTTGCAAATCCCACATGTAGTCCTGAGAACCCGGCTGGTCCTTACAGGGCATTGTTTTGGGGAAGTTTAAACCGTGGGCAGTGGTTGTTAGCACTGCCACGGGTTGCTTCCAAGCTCGGTGTTACCTGCTGGCATTTTTCACAGACATTTGTTGTCTTGGTGGAGCCAGACCTCTGCAGTAAGGAATTTCTGTCCTGCTGCATGCCACCTCCTCCAACCATAGCAGTTGTCTCTGAAATGTCACTTCTGTTGCTGTGACACAAGGCGCTGGAGCCCAAGGGCCTGCAGAGTCAAGTGGGAAGAGTTCTGGTCCCACGCCAGGGTCTGCGTGGGCCAGGACTCTGATGTTGACTTTCATGCTGTCAGAGGCATTAGTGGGAGCCAGCCTAGGTGGTGGGAAGCATCTGGGAACGGCTTTTGGTGACTCTATCTGGTCTGCAAGCCCAGGAACACCACCATCTTCAGTTGTAAATCAAGAGGTGAGACCTCTCCTTCTCAGGTGTTTGTTCTCAGCAATAGTCCATCACGTGCTTTAGCCCAGAGGTGTGGCTGGGACCCCAGGCTACATGCAGCTCTCTGATGCCTACTGTGCCTGTGGGGGAATGCTCTAAAAAGTGGCCTTTCTGCTCCTAGGGGTGAAGGAAGGCATCCTGTGGAAGCGAGGCCGAGACAACGGACAGTTCCTACCCCGCAAGTTCCTTTTGTCTGAGAGAGAGGGATGTCTGAAGTATTTCACCAAGCAGGATGTGAGTTATGGTGGTCAGCTCCCACTCAGGGCAGCAGGGTCATGGAGATGTTTCTATTTCCTGTGCGTGTTTCTGAGGTTGACTTGCTCATCCCAGGCCAGGGGTGATAACAGAAACGTGGCACTGAGGGGAGGGGTCCCCTTCCTACTCTCAGGGCGACATTTTCCACCATCACTGCTGATAAAAGGACTTATCATTCAGTTCACCCTTATCCATTTGCCTGGCTATGTAATCCTGCACCATCCCTGGAAACAGCCTCACCCCACTCTGGGCCAAGTCAGCAAATCCCTGTTGTTTGGTTTGTTTTGAGGGGGGCTACTCTTCTGCTAGTTATCTCCCTGAAATGAATGGGACAAGTGCTAGGATACTGTTGCATGGGAGGGAATGGCTTGGGATAAGGAGGAGCAGGAGTGAGGTCTTTCCTTTTGGGGCCAGGTAGCCTTTAGACTGGCTCAGCTGTAAAGTCAGATGCACTCTTAGTGACTCACTGGCGGTTGCATAGCAGCCATGGCTCAAATCTAAATTGGAGGGGCTGGGCCACTGTTTGGGTTTAAGCATGCCACACAGTGAAGGGACTGTGTGCTACAATACTTTTGCTGGGAAGGAGCAGTTATTACCTTTTAACGGCCTCTGACCCTGCCTTACACCGCTAAGTCAGCTCAGGTCTCTTTCCCACCAGGATTGCTCATGCATGACCAATGCCGTTCTGTTCTCAGGCCAAAGAACCCAAAATCAACATTAAAATAGATGTTATCAATGCTACATTCCAGCCAGTGAAGATTGGGAACCCCAATGGCCTGCAGATCACCTATCTCAAAGACAACAAGACCCGGAATATATTTGTCTACCATGAAAGTGGAAAGGTATCTTGTTTTAGCATCAAACACTGCAAAGCAATTGAGGTGGTTCGAGAAGCTGCTGCTATTAAATAGTCTGAAGCATGGCTAGGATGGGGGTGTGTGTGTGTATGTGAGTTGCTGTAGGTAACAAGGTGGGGGTTCTGGCTCTGTGTTTGTGTGTCTGTGAGAGAGTTTTGCTGCAGGGAGCAGGGCAGGAGCACTGGCTGAGGTGGTTTGTGTGGGAAGAGCTGCCGTAGAAGATGTGCAGATGTGCTGCCTGTGCACGGGGCAGCCGTGCTGTCTCTGTGTGTGCGTGCATGAAGGAGATGCTGTAGGGCTGCGTTTGTAGTTAACATAGGGCTGGGTGCAGCTGGGTGAATTCAGGCAGCTCACTGTTGCTCCGGCTAAGCTTTCCTGTGCTTTTCCATTCTCAGGAGGTAGTGGACTGGTTCAATGCCATTCGCTCCGTGCAGTTCCATTACCTGAAGGTAGCATTTCCCATTGCCAGCGATAATGAGGTAAGGCAGCACTAGAGTGCAGTGCTGAGTCTCCTGCTGGTACTCGGTTATACGATAAAAGACCCCATTAGTTACTATTAGATCCCGGGGTACAGAAGTGGAAATTGCAGTGCTTAGATAGAGGGATGAGAAAGTGTGTGCAAAAGGGCCTGTGATGGCCAGAGAACAACTGCTGTTTCTGGGCACTTTGAAGGCAGAAGTAACTCCTGCAAACATGAATTTAAAAGGTGGCTGAGTTTGGGGGAATAGAAGGAAGGGTCGGGGGCGAATGTGAATAGCGAAGAAACAAAGAAAAGTGAATGTTACTCTTGCCTTTTTGTCAGATTAAAAATCGACTGACAAGAAACTTCCTGAAGGAGGGATACATGGAGAAGACTGGTCCCAAGGTGAGCTGCTGTGAGAGGAGAAAAAAAAAATCTAACAGGGACCTCACAGAGAGCCCCTCACCTTCCCTACTTCAATGTTTTTCTCCTGCTGTTTCCCCATTCCCCCCTGAATCTTTAGACACCCGTGGGAACAGTGTGTGTGCACCAAGGGAGGGGACAATAAAAGGAAGGGGAAGGACACATGTGAAAGTAGATGAAGCCAGAGTCCCTGCTTTCTCCCAGAACAACAGATCTCTCTGCATGTGTCTGTCTGTGCCTGACCTTACAGGTATTTAGCGTCTAGATTTCTCCTGTCTCAACTCTGGGGTCCTTCATAGAAATCCATGAGTTGGGGACAGCAGTTGGGACAGAAAAACCCAATACTGATCCCCCCTCTCATCAGCTCAGAAAGGGTGAGGAGGAGGTTGCTGTTAAGGCAAGGGCTTGGTTCAAGCTGTGGGGATGAGTTTTGGGTATCCATTCACGTCTCGCAGCAGAGGGCACTGTCCCCTTACATATGTCACCTCTTCCCTTCACAGCAGAGAGAGGCTTTTAAGAAACGCTGGTTCACGCTGGATCACCGCAGGCTCATGTACTTCAAGGACCCTTTGGTGAGGAGGGGATCTGACCTCTGGCAGCTGCGGGCAACATTGCTGAGGGCAGGGTCAAAGAGGCTTGAAGGTTCCCCAGCTGCTCTGAACGGACTCTAGGTTTTCCCGTTTCCATCCCACTGTCCATTCCATGCTTTCTGTGCTTGTTTCTCTGCCTGCAGGCAATGCGGATGGGGAGGGCAGCAGTGTAAAGGTGGTGATGGGGAGAAGACTGACATGGGGGGTTCCTCAGGGCAGCAGTTCCTCTCTCAGACCTCTCGAGATCTACAGTCTTAAATTTTCCTTTCCACTGCTGCCTTTGGGCATGGCCTCCCTGCTCTTCTGAATCCCAAGACTACCTTCAAATCTTTTTTTGCTTCTACATCGTTGGTCCTCACCCTCTCTCCTCCTGCCCTTAGGTGCACTGCTATTATTCCCTGGTTCTTCTGGGATTCCATAAACCCCACTCTTTCCCTCCTGGTATGCAGGATGCGTTCGCTAAGGGTGAGGTGTTTGTGGGCAGCAGAGAGAATGGCTACAGCGTCCAGAAGGGATTGCCTTCGGGGACACAGGGCAACTTCTCGTGGCACTATGGCCTCACCATTGTCACCCCCGACCGGGAATACCTCTTCACCTGTGAGACGGAGGCTGACCAGCTGGACTGGATTGCAGCCTTCACTAGCGTCATCAACCAGGCCATGACACCACAGGAATATGCCAGTAAGTGCCTGGATCCTGTTTCTTTCCCCTTCTGCCACTCTGGTTCAGGGTATTGCCCTAATGCACTGCCTTTTTCCTCCACTACAGTTGAAGCCTACTTCAAGTTTAAGTCCTAGGAAGCCATGTGGGAACTTCGCTACGAATCAACTCTACCTGGTCCTGTTGGGTGGGCTGTCAGGAGAGGAGATCAACATCAGAGAAACACGGTGCTCTTAAAGCACCCTTTGAAGCACTTTTTTTTCTCCATAGACATTCCACTTTGTTCTGGGGGCCAAATTAAGCTGCTTCCTTTGAAGTGCAAGACTTTGTGAGTCTGAATCCTCAGTGCAACCCGTCACTGTTAAATTGCTGTGATCTGACTGGACACTGGCAGGCCTTGCCTGTCAATTGGGCCTTGAAAACTTGGCACTTGCTATGTTGGACATGGGACTGAGCGTAACTCCTGCACGAAGCTGCAGACAGCCACCTACCTTAGGCAAGGAAACAACTGCCTGCCTGGAGCTACGCCCCAGTGGGTTGCAGGGGCTGCTGGACTAGGAGAGACATGAAATGGCTTCTCTGCTGGTGACAGAGATGTGAAACATCTAGATATTTGATCAGTTAGAGCTGTAGTTGAGAAAGGTCACTTAATAGATGTAATCTAACAACCTCCTGCCATGTGTAGGCTTGAAAGCTGCTTCAGACCACATTTGTGTGGAGACCTTCCTCTGATTGCTACAGAGAATATTAAGAGACTTGCTCAAAAACAATGTGTGTGTGTATATATGCTTACGTGTATGTGGATAATGTGTGTGTGTACGTAACAAAAAGCGGTGTGGAATACTACTACTAGGGAAGATACTGTGAGGGATATTCATGCCACTGAAGTTCAGCTGTCAAGTTTGAGTCTCTAGTCAAACCAATGGAGAGAGGTTGGGTCTGGCAGAGAGCAGTCTATGGTGTGTCTGATATAGACTTTGGACTCTCGGTTGACTTTACTAGAGCATAGGGGTTGATGTCTGAAATTAGTAATACATGGATCTCTGCTCCCTCTCTGTATATCAAAGGCCTGGCACTTTCATGCTGCCCTATACATTAATGTGTATATATTGTATATTACATATGCATACAATTTTATGCAGCAGTAGGAACCCTGTGTGTTCATGGCCTTCTAGTAACAGTTAGCTCTAACCACTAAATCAGCCCATGATTCATATCTTGAAGATCAAAGGTCTCCTGGGAGAGCTGTGTTTCCCAGGCTGGAAGGACTGGCCGAGTTCTGCTGATGACTGTACAATCTGATGTGTCTGCAGTTTCACACAGGCAGTGTGAGAGGAGGCATCTAGTGTGTTAAGAGGAGCTAACTGGAATTAACGAGCCAACAAGTATTTTAATTAGCTCCTAAAGAAATGAATAAAAAAATCCCATTGTAATTTATTTTAACTTCCTGAACAACCTGAGCTTCTAACTGCTAAGGCATGAGGTTGTTTCTTGGAAAAAAACACAGACAAGCAGAGCAAGGAGCCATGGCTTTTCATTGCATTTCCTGGGGCATGTGGACTGTGAATCTTCCCATCAGAGCCAGATGAGCAAAGTCATCATCTTCCACTGCTTCTCTGGGAGAAGCTCTGTGCTGAGACCACCACAACCTGTTGGGACCCATCAACTTCTGGGATGAGAAGCAGCATCCCTCATCCTGCTGTCAGGGCACGATGGAGCTTTCCACCCAAAAATAAATTTTCGCTGCAGTTTGCCAATCTCTCCCCATTTGGAGCATGTCTGTCCCCAAAACCAAAGGCCATTACAAAGCTTATGTTCTAAAATAAGTGCCTTTTGGTTCTGATAATGTGAAAATGGGTCAGTGAATTAAGAAAAAAAAAGCTCAAACCCCATCTAAACAACTTGCATATTCAGTTCTCCGGGAAGAAGAGTAGAGAGCGTGACCCAACCATCCTGAGATTTCATATAGATAACCCAGAGGTTATCTCTGAGCTCTGAAGTTCCCTCCATCAATGCCGTATGTGCCATAAGCCCACGCCTGTGGCATGGTCATACTGAAGCTGATGCTGTTCCATGCAGCATATTGCTTGGGAAGGTGCTTGGGTCCTACTGCAGTGAGGGCAGTACCAGTGGGATGCTTCCTTCTCCTGTTTGCTGCTGTGTTATTGCAGCTGGGGATGAGTGGAGGAGCTTAACTTGGCCACAATGAAGGTAATACACCGAAGATACAAAAGAGCATGACTGGAGTGGCCTGAAAACCTCTGAGAAATAACAGCAGAGCATGTTTGGTAACGTGCACATTTGTCTCTGCTCTGCAAATTCTGTCCCACTGTGTCTGTTTCCTGAGATGAATGAGGCTCAGATGTGGGCAAAGAGCAGGATAGCGCTGGGCACAGAAGTGTGGTGGCACGGATGTCATGCAGTGATGCCCCACTAGAAGGCAATAGTGCCTACCTAACACACTTCTGCTCTGGGGCGGTACAGCAGGTCTTGGGGGTTTGAGGGAAGGAGGGGGAAGGCTTAGAGGAGGAGGATGCTCTTTGAGAAGAGGGAGGAAAGAGTCGATCTAAAATATTCAGCCCTTTTTGTCTCTAGGAGCTTGCTGCTGTCTGAGGGACAAGGGTGGAGCAGGGCCTGGTTGTAGTAAATGTGAGATGTCCTGGCATCTGGTGGGCTTGCTCGCAAACCTGGGGACTATGTTCATTATCTACACCTCAAAGGCTCCTGATATCCTTGGAAGGGAGTGGGGAACAGGCCCTCTCAGCCTGGTATGGCTAAGGGGCAAGGAGAGCAGTGTGGCAGCTCCCTGCCTATTGCATTTTCAGGGCTGGCCCTTGTTTGCCTTCTAAAGCCGCAGTGCGATGCGTTCCACCCACTGCTGCATTAGGGAGTCTTGTCTTTTAGTTATCTCCTCTTTCAGATGAGGAATACAGTGTAACAGGAAATGGGAAAAAGAAAAAAGAATGAGAAGAAAGAGGGAGCTGGAGGAAGGCACTGGGGAAGACTGAGCATGTCTGCAAGAAAGAGGAGGGAGCCAGCATGGCTCCTCAGCTAGTGGCTAAGAGCCCAGTATAAACTGGGACTGCGTTCGCACCGGTGTGTGAAGCTGTGAGTCAGACACATTCCTCAATGCAATGGGCAAGGCAACTCTCCAGGGGCTGGTTCAGGGCGGGAGACCCACTTCTCCAGAGTCCGTCTGAGTAGAGAGAACACAGACCCGGGAGGAAAAATCCATTTTTCCACTGAGTTTGCTGGTTTCCTTGGGCCCAGTGAATGCTGGAGAAACAGCAAGCAAGGAGCTGGGGAAGACCAGAGATGTTTCCTCCTGGATGGCAGAGGTTATTTTGCACCTATCCATCTTGAAGGGGAGGGAGGTGTCCCCTTTTCAGCCCTTCGGTGGTTAAGGAAAACTACTGGACAGAGCTTGCGATGGACAAGATCTGGAAAATGGACTGCGCGTCTGGAGGTGAGGAGTAGACATCTCTGGAGTACCTTATATCTGATGAACTTTCACCATTCTTCCCTCTCATGTTAAGGCTAGACGTGTCCCATAACAGCGAGAGAGGGGAGGGCAGAGGGAAGGAACTGACAGCCTGAACTGCTCTTACTCGCCCTATCCAAAGATGTTTTGTAATTCTTCCCCCGTCAGCACAAGGCCTGGAGAGGACCCCGAGGGTGGCAGCTTCTCAGAAGAAAGCAGTGGTGGGGATGACAGCGGCAGTGTCCTGGGAGGGGACAGCCCGGTCACCGGGCCACTGGGTGCAGTGCTGCTGATCATGTGCCTCACTGGGATGGTGGGGAACATCTACACGGTGGTGGTGGCCTCTGGCAGGGTGGCGGGCCGCTCAGCAGGCTCCTTGGGGGTCTACGTGATCAACCTTGCAATGGCTGACCTCCTGTACCTCTCCACCATCCCCTTTGTGGTCTGCACCTACTTCGCCCACGACTGGTTCTTTGGAGATGTGGGCTGCAGGCTTTTGCTCAGCCTGGACCTCCTCACCATGCATGCCAGCATCTTCCTCCTGACCGCCATGAGCCTGGAGAGGTACTGGGCGGTGGCCAGGCCGCTGCGGGCCAGGTGGGCCGGCAACGCTTACCGCAAGCTGGCCAGTGCTGTCCTCTGGCTCCTCTCGCTCCTGCTTACGGCCCCCATGATGGTGATGACCCAGCTGCGGGAGGGGGGCGGCCCCCAAAAGCGCATCTGCATCCCCACCTGGACGCCGGCGGCTTTCCGGCTCTACCTGACGGTGCTCTTCGCCACCAGCATCCTGGCACCTGGTGTGGTGCTGGGTGTCGTCTACACCCGCCTGGCCCAGGTGTACCGGTCCTCTGCCTGGAGCCCAGGGCTGCCGGTGGTCGGCCGGACCCCCTCCCGACGGCTCTTCTCCAGGATCGCCACCATCGTGGTGGCTTATTGGGCCTGCTACCTCCCCTTCTGGGCTTGGCAGCTGGCTGGGCTGTACTGGGGTGAGGGTCTGGGCATCACTCCCACTGCCCAGGCCTACCTCAACTTCGGTGTCACCTGCCTGGCCTATGGCAACAGCTGTGTCAACCCCTTCCTCTACACCCTGCTCGCTGGCAGCTGCCGCCGCCGCCCCGGCCACGGTGGGATGAGCATGGCACGGCCACCAGCACCCTCCCAGGAGGCCACGGCAGGCCCAGTGGGAGGCCACAGCATCCCCCCGGCTACTGGGGAGTCATCGGGGTCTGTGGGGGAAGGTGAGGGGTGAGCAACGCCCCAGGCTGGGAACATCTCCTGTCCTTTAGCTGGGCTTGAGTGGAGAAATAAAAGTGTGTCACCTTCCGTGCCAGCGTGCAGTGTCTTCCGTCATTATTGTGGTGCGTTCCCCTTCATGCCTTCCCCTTTGCAAAGCTGCTCACCCTCCTTGTCTGTGGGGAGGATGCATGTCTCGAGGATCCTGAGTCCATCCTGAGGTCCTCCAGCCCTTGCACGCCAGCCTCCACCTTGCGCAAGGTGGGGAGTGGGTGGAAGGGAGCAGTCAGCCTCGATATATCTAAATTACACATCTGGGGAACCCTCGCCTCCCCTCACCTCCTCGCTAGCAACTGGCTGAGCCATAACAAAGTCAGGACAACAGTGAGTCACAGATTTCACAGGAGCAGTGAGTCACTTCAAGAAGTAGCCGCGCTAGCAAGAGACCTGAATAAGGTTCAGCCTCTTGTGGTAAAGCTCACACTCAGCTTTCTTCCCCCACCCTCCACAAAAAAATCTTTGAAGAGTCTTTCTAAAAAAAGAGTCCCACATACAGTAAAGAAACATTGCGAGATTTCTCCAAAGCACAGCTTGGGGAGGTCAGCATATTTGCTCAGCTTTCAAGATCAGCCCAGCAGCGGCAGCTGCAAGGAGAAAGATCCACAGTATGTCCATCATCACAGCTCATGGAGGTAGCTATCACCAGCATCGTGGCCCTGCTGTTGTTGAGGAAATCCCCAACTCTCTGGCCTACCAGATGTACCCCAGTCTGCCAGACTGTGCGAACACCACAGTATAAACCATGCCAGGTCTCTTGCCTTGAGGCCATCTAGCCTAGCATGGCTCACTTCCATACAGCTAAACTCGCTTATCCCCAGAAAGGATATCCTCGTCTATATCACCCTATGGGAAGAGTTCCCAAGCTATGCTGTCTCCCAGTCATGCCTATGCACAGGGAGGCAATGCTAGATATCGTGTTCACTGTCATAGATGTAGCCCTAAAGAGCAGGATGTGATCATCCAGAGCAGGCTGGCTTTGAGCAGCACAGGGCTTCAAGAAAGATCCAGCTGCAGAGCCTTATGTTGCGTTTACACCCCAAGTATTCCTGTCTCCCTGCTCAAAAGCCCATTTTGATCCCCTGTCTCCAAGTCCTCTCTCTCTTCCTCCTTAGCCTCCCTCTACATGGGTACCTGAGACACAGGACCTGGCAAAGCCTCATGAATTATGGAGCAAAACTAGGAGGTGCTGCTGGCACAGGAGCAAGTCCCTGTGCTCTGCCTGCTCAATGGGAGGAATTGGCCCAGCCAGGCCTGCAGGGAGTCCTTGTAGAACACTGAATGATTTGTGCTTTGTGTTGCTCATGGCCAAGCCTGGAAGTGTGGACCCAGAGATTGGGTTCTTCTATTCCAGGCCTACGTGGCAGCTTCTGCGTATTGTGGAAAGGGCAGCTCCCACCTTCCCTATACCCACCAGGCACAGGCTGCGCAAGAGCAGTAATCATTGCTGCCAAAGTAGCATTAGACTAGGAGAGCCCCCAAAGCAGCTGCTGGCTGACAACTTGGGTAACAACTACTGAGAACTGTATGGTAACATCAAACATGCCTCATCATCTTCAGTCTCCTCAGAGGCTAGCCTCGGATTAGACTGACAAGTGTTCAGGCTCATTTAGGCTAATATGAGTGAAGGGGTAACAAAAGCATAATGGACAAATCCTTAGTATCCCACACCCCAGACAGGCATTGCTACCTCTCCCAGCTCTGGATGGACCAGACAAGGCACGCACATGGGGCAGAATAAAACTAGACCCCTCCAGGTTACTGCCTCTATGTGCCACATGAGCTACAGACCAACAGTATTTGAGCTTCTGCAGCTATTGGAAGACAGGATTTGGATGACAAGCCCAGTGCATACGCTGCCACACCCAGAAAGGCATCATTTTCCACTGCTTTACCCATGCAGCAACAAGAGGTCCCAAGAAGACATAGGAGATCTAGACCAGCCTCTACAGAAGGGTGCAGTCCAAAGCTAGTACAACTGAGAACTTCCCCCTCACTCTGTGCACCACTAGGTTTACCTAGCACAGCAACTCAAGGCTGAATGAGGCCAGCCAGGGATACCTAGGTGTTTTCGTTTTTTGTTTGTTTTGTGGGTGGGCTCTTTTTGTCTGTTCTTTTTTGGTGTGTTTTTTTTTTTTTTAGCTCAGGCTGGGTAAGGTGTCAGTCTAGACTTCAGAAGCAGGTGACTTTGCCTAAGGGACTCTTCTACTCCCCCAACTAGTCACATCTAGCCCCCGTGTTTCCTCCTGAAACTCTCCTTAGGCTTTTTACCTTCTGCCTTCCCAGCCTTTTGACCCTCCTCTTCATCCATTACTTTAAGGGCCAAGGCTGTCACAATCCCATCCACATATTGTAATCAAGCAGTTGGCCACCCTCCTCCCTGCCACCCATCCAGCAAGGTGACCAACCCATGCAGACTTGCAGTATGAAACATTTTGAGACTAGGTAGACCAAAACTCTTCTTTATTGATTGCTTTTTCTGTATCTTTGAGATGGAAATGTCAGGGGAAGTTATTCCCAGCTGAGGGACTGGAGTGTGAAGTCCCCTTGTGTGTCAAAGTAGTCAAAGACAGCAAGACCAAGCCGGTTTGGGAATGTGAACTGGTGGCCTGGCAGGTGAACTGTCACATCATTTTGGTTGACACCGAATGTGATCTGCAAGACAAATGGAAGAGTCAGAGAAAGTTTCTGTCAAGATACGCTCAAGCCTTTCCCTTTTACAGCATTGCTGTACCACCCTCCACCTCGCAGGGTGAGCACACTCAGCAGCATAACCTGCTCTTCAACAGCAGGGGTGTTATTCTGATCTCTCAAGAGATGCCAGCCCGGTTCAATAGTGACATCCATCTGAGCTAGATGGAGCTTGCATGTTTGATCCCCACCCTGTATCACTGCTCTGAGCCCTGGATAGTGGCACTGGCCAAGAAGAAGCCAGCCACCTCCTGTACTGACAGCTTCTGCTGTTGGTTGCCCTGTGCCAAACACCCTCCCTCCACAAGGCACGTACAGGGAGTGCAACCCAGGCCTCACCTCTGCTGCGCCACCCTTCTGGAAAGGGAAGACGGTCTCCCTGTGCTCTGCACCCCACTCTTCCACTTTCTTTGAGTTGCACACAATGGTGTTCACATCACCATGAGCATCAAAACGGGGGTTGAAGTGAAGCCCAAGGTGGGAAGCATCCTTCCCCAGATTCATCACAAAGCTGCAGAGAAAGAAGACATCAGCATTGTTTTAATCAATACTATGGTAGCATGTTTCTCATTACCATGAACATCTCTGCATCTGTTGCTTCAAGGCCAGCTGAGAGTAATCCATTCCTAAACTGCACAGCTTCCCTAAGAAGATGGTGCTGTGTCAGTAAGGAGTACTCTCTTCTGCTGGAGTGATAGGGTCCCACAGTGCCATCCCTGGGAGAGACAACACTTAGTTTCCACAGTGCTTTTAGTAAGAGAAAGGCATTTACAAGCCTCTCAACAAGGGAGTTACCCTGCACCCAAACCAGCTCCCAAGGAGTCAGTTGCTCTTCACAGATTTCCTTTCAGCCCCAAACAGTTAGCTGGTGCTGCTCCCTGCCTGACAGCCACCACCTTCTCCCACACTGCAGGCAGCTGAAATAATTACCATGTCATTAGCTATCCCAAAGCATCTGCAATGGCAGTGGGAGGAAGCAGATTCCTAGCCTGGTGTCCACCTTGCCTCCAGGCCTCTTACCCAGATGAGAATAGAGGACGCATATTATTTGGCAAGAGAAAGCTCAGGAGGCTTCACTCTGACACTATCAAACTTCAAAGGCACTGGAAAGAGTTGGGACATTTCCTGTCCCAAGCTACTAGTGCTGGTACAGCAGCTATGGGCTCCACCTTCCCATCAAGGGACTCCACCAGCCACAGATGTGCACAAGGGCTGGGGGCTGCTGCAGAGGCTTCCCTGGGTGCTCCAGCCACCCTGATCACTGCACACTTGGGAGCATATTTCCACTTAAGCCCACCTGCCCTCTCACAACCTTCCTTCCCCACCAGCAGCTGAGAGGCATCTCCACTGGGTGAAAGCAGACTTCAACACGCTGAGACCCCCTGGTGCAACATGCATCTTTTCCATTTGCACCATCAGCTGGAGCTGGGGCTCAGAGCATCCATGACCTCCCAGCTGCGTGGGTCACAATCTCCTCTTGCCCAGTGGAACAGTGTCCCTTGTCCTGGGCCATCTTCATGCAGGGGAGAGGATGTGCCTCTGAGAATGGTCTCAACCAAATCTCAGTATAGACACAGCTTCCATTTCCTTTACATTGCACTGGAGAGGATGTGGTCACTGCCAGTGCATGCAGCTGGAGCTTCACATCTGCTTTGGCTTAGCCCCTTGGCAGTAGAGTTTGCCTGCAATATTCATTAAGCAATGACTCACTGAGCAGCTCTGCTGGTGTTAACCCCTTTCAGAGCTGGTCCTCTCCTACCCAAGAGAGGGATTCCTTTTGTCTCCCACCAGCAGAGGACAACTCATTGTGGTGCCTTGGCCATGCCTGGGGAGCACAGCACAACTTACCTCTTGGCATTTGGTGCAATTTTCCCCTTGACAGTGAGGCGCTGGCCAGGCTTGAGACCCAAGTTGGTGCACACTGGTCCCTGGGGAACAAGGAGGCAGAGACATTAGGCTCAGTACCTGCCAGCTCACTTGCTCTGACTTGGCAGCTCTCCCTGCTGCCTTGCAAGCCAGTGCATTGCTTTGGACTGCTGGAGAGACGGGGAAGCTTCCCTCCCCCAGGGCATTGCACCAGGGACATCCCAGAGAAGTTGCCCCAGTCACATGGGACACGTGCCTGATTTCCCAACCTTCCTCCTATTGCTCTCATCAACATATTTGTATTTCACAGGGGTAAAGTGTAAGTACCTGCAAGCTCCCATCACACCCACCCTGTCCCAAACACACCCATGTGCCTTGTGGGTCTCACATCATCCCACACAAACCTGGCTGAGCAGCAATGGAGCCTCCACTCCCTTCCCCTAGCTTGGACTTGAACTTCAA